TTTATATTTCATACAGTTATTTGTATGTTTTAGATTGAAATGTACTATCTTGCTGTTGGTTTTTATTGGAGTCATTTTTTTCCACCTCTTTGACAATGGGAGGGATTTTTTTTTATTGTGAAAATACTGTACAGAGGGGTTACAATTACATGGGCAAGATAATGAGTACATTTCTTATCAAGCATTGTAGCCTCTGGAGGAATTTTTTTGTGGGTTAGGATTCTATCATTCCTTTACTGTGGCTTTGACAGACACTCCTCTCTGTCTCATAAGTGGTGATTCTAAAGCTTGAAGGAATTTATCCTACCCTATGTCAAATAAAGTGTCACATGTAAGATACTCAATTTACTTTTTTCTTACCCTATCTTTCAGTGTGGTTGTCTTACATTGTATTTTATACATACACTACATCCTATAATAAATTTTTGCTTTTTCAACCAGTTATGTTTGCAAAAAAATTGTAAAATGAAAAACATTTAAACAGATACTTGACTACCTAAATACTTTTTCAGCAGTCTTCATTCCTGGGTATAGCTCTAAGTTTAAAACCTGATGTCAGTTTCCACTTGAAAAGCATTATTTCCCATTCAGAGTTGCTGCCAGTACATGAATTTAGCATCTGTTCTATGAAAATAAGCCATTATTTCAGTCTGTACTTTTTTGAAAGATATTCTTGTTGGATAAAGAATCCATCAATTTATTTTTTTTTCTTTCCGCTCTTTTTAGCCACACTCATCCTTCTTTTACGGATCCAACTACATATATGTTAGAATACTTTTAAGTATTCTTTTTTCTTTAAAATTCTGTTTTATTTAGAGTAGTTTTTATTATGTTGAAGTTCATGAATCATATCGTTTCTGATATGTGTACTATTAATCATATCCAATGAATTATTCACCTCATATTCTGTTTTTCATCTGTAGAAGTACCAGTTCTTTTGTACGTATTGTTTTTCCTTTTTATTGACAGTTTTCTTGGAATGCTTTCATAAGTGATTTCCTAGTATTTGAATGCTATATAATACTTTTATTATTTTGCCATTGTTGAATCTACTTGGACCCAGACTTTGACTCATTTCTTCTGCTCTAAATTTTCCTATTGTCATTTTTGTTAGTTTTTGATTGGATGAGAAATTTTAAGTTTGTGAATATCCCAACTGTGGTCTTATTGAAAGAATTTGATCTAGCGCACCCACATTATGTACAGTTCAGTTTGATTCTTTTTCATCTTATTTTTGTTGTATTTCTAACTTTGCCGGTAGGTTCTGCGTGTGTGTGTGTGTGTGTGTGTATGTGTGTGTGTGTATACATATATGTATATATAAAAAATAGCCTTTGCTCTGGGAATAGGTGTGTGTATACATAAATGTATACATATGTGTGTAAGTATACATGTGTATATATATATACATACATATATATAGTAGCCTGTGCTGTGGAATAGGTTGGCCCATTACTAAAATATGGCTTTTGGAATGTTACCTTGGGTAAACATCTAGTACTTTCCACTTTGTCAAGTTGGAATTTAAGTATATTCCAGCTCTGTGTATGCACTGGGAAAAGATCAGTTCATAGCTCTTTTTCATTCTTTGTACCTTGTGTAGTTTTTCCCACACACGTTTACACTGAAATATTCAGCTGAGCATCAAATTTACCCCTATTCAAATTACTGGATTTATATTCCACATAGCTCCCTCTTGTTTACAAATGTGCTCTTCAGGATACAACCACCTGGGTCTTCTTAAGTTCAGGTCTTTTCTAAACTCAATTTAAAGGACAATTTTGTGCTTGAAAGTCCCCTTCTTATCCTAGCAGATGCTGATCTGATATTAGGTATTATTTATTTGTTTCTTTCTCCAGTTACTATGATCTGATCATAGTCTGATTCTGTTGTCTGGAAACTTATTTGTATAGTTTTTTGTTTCACTTGAGTTTGGGGTTGGGTTTAGTTTGGTTGTTTTGTTGTTCTTTTTGCTGTGTACAGTAGGATGGTAAGTCTGGTTATTTCATCCTAGCCAGAAGTAGAATCTGTGGTCTTATTTTAATAATGAAATTGTCACATAATGCCAGCTATGTGACAGCTATGTCATAGAACATATATATGTATGTATATATACATATATACACACACATATATATATATATACATATATATATATATATGTGTGTGTATAGTGAAGTTGCTGGGCATTCAGGGCTCATACCTGTAATTCTAGAGTCTCAGAAGGCTGATATCTGAAGATTGCAGTTTAAATTCAGTTCCAGCAGGAAAATCCTTGAGAATCTTATCTCCAATTAATGCCAAAAATAGAGCTATGGCTCAAATGGTAGATCACTAACCTTGAGCAAAAAAGCCCTGGGAAGTGCCCAGAACCAGTACACACATATACACAAGTGAAATTAAAGTTGCATAGAAGGAAGTGAAAAGAGAGAAGACTAATTACAAAGTAGAAACCACTGAACTGGAAGCCTTTAGTAATGTCTATCTCAAAGTGGATGAAGAAACAGTGATTGTATTCTGAAAGTAGGTGTTGGATATACTTACTGGGATTGTAGAGCAGTTTGAGAGGGTAATTGAATTATGGAGTGATAGTGTGTAGTGGAGTACATAAAATTATTGGAGTTAATAAGAACTGAGAACTTATTTATATGTTTGTCTTAGAGTTAGATTCATTTTCTTATTGCAGAATATCCAAAATAATAAAAGCTATGTAAAACTAAAAATCACTCCCCTTGCTTAAAAGCAAGTCTTCTATTGGCAGTATCTAGTACTGTTCCATCTCCATGAAGTTATCAGGGTCCCAAGTCATTCTAGTTTCAAACGTGCCAATCTGCACAATTGCCATTTCCAAAGTTGCATGTAGTCTAAGATAAATACTAGAGTGCATTTGTTTAGTATGTTTTATGTAACTAATAAGGAGGCCAGAAGGGAAGATAATCTTTCCCTTGCTGCCATGTAACCTTTTTTTTTTGTTTTGTTTTGGTTTGGTTTTTTTTGGTCCGGTTGTGGGGCCTGAACTCTGGGCCTGGGCCTTTTCCTTCGGTCTTCAGCTCAAGGCTGGCACTCTTCCACTTGAGCCACAGCACCACTTCCGCTTTTTTCTTTTTGCTTATGTGGTGCTGAGGAATCGAACCCAGGGCCTCATGCATGCAAGGCAAGTGCTCTACCACTGAGCCAACTTCCCAGCCCCTGCCATGTAACCTTTTAAGAAGACTTTCCAGAAGTCTTTACTGGAGATTTCTGGGTTTTAATTGTATTTTAGTGTGAAGAATGCTAGGGAATATACTCCTTTTATTGTACATAAATGTCTCTAAACTTAGTGGGGAAGATAGGAAGAATAGCTGTGGAGAAGCAGTTGGCATTCTCTGCCACCTCAGTGATTATCAATGAAAGGAAAAGAGGGTTGCATGAACCTTAAGACCAGAGTATTAAGATGCTACAAGAATGTTGGAATGTAGAAGTGGAATGCAAAGAGAAAATGTAGCCAATTCTAAGATAAGATAGTTGTGAGAGGATTGAAAATAAAACAAAAGAATCATTACTTGAGATCACTGCACCTGGAAGTGATTTCTTCAAATGACATCAGGTTTAAGACAGGGAGGGGACCTGAGGAAAGGGGGGAATACTGGGTGTACGGAGGAGATGGGGAGTATACTTATTATGGTAGTGTTCCCGAGAATTTGAGTACAAGGATGAGGGTAAGGTCTGGACTAGACTAGAACAAGAAGATACAGGTAGGTCATAGTTGAGAGGATTGAGAGGATGTAGTAAAACAGTAACTCCCAACCTTTCATCACCTATTCATGAGTTTAAAAAATACTAAACACCAATTGCCAGTAAAGGGTATATAGTATGTATAATTTGCACATTATATCTTTATAACTGAGAATAGTGGTGACTCTTAGGAAAAATATGAGTAGCCTGGCATACTGATTCTACTCTCTACTGAGAGCCTTCTTCTTCAAAATAAGAGTGAGGACAGAGATAGAATAAATAGATGCCTGTATCGTGAGTGCATTAATACATGTCAAAGGGGATCTTGTCAGACATAGTTGAATTGAAAATTCTAAGAATAACATATACCAAGGACCAACTAACATATAACAGGACTTGGAAGTGCTGGTAAATAAAACAGTAGTACCTTAGTAGACTAACACTTCTACTTCAGGATCGACAATTGGGCTCTGTTATCTCATGAAAATATAATGTATGATAATGAATGACAAAAGTGATATTTATATCAGTAGGGCAGAATAAGCTATTCTTTCACTCATGTATTTTACCTATTCACAAAATGTTGAGAGCCAACTATGTTCTTGGATGCCAGGGAGCCGGTGTGGGGGACTTCTCATCGTCGCCAGGTTAATGGCTGCACACAAGGTTCAGCTCTTGGTTGAGAAGGAGACTGACTTGGAGGCTTTTTTCTGCCAAGACTAACGTTGAATCATCTTCCAAATCTTAGCCTCACAACTAGCTAGGGTTATAGTTTGAACCACTGTTACCTAGCTAAAGTTACAGTACTTTTCAAGGAGGTCTTTAGTTTTACTCAGATGTTTTTTGGTTAACCTTTTAAAGAGAAAGTATATTAAAAGAGATAGTGTACACAAAAATGACTAAATCAGTTCCTCTTATAAAGCAAAGTGCAAGTCTCATTTTCCACCATTCTAGCCCACATTTTATATTTTATGGATATCACTTACTTGAAATATAGGAAATACTCTTGTATGTATGATTGTTTCCTGAGTGTTTTTAAATTGGCTGTAGATTTCTTGACACCTTAGTCTTTTTTTTTCTTTTTCCTTTTTTTTTTTTTTTTAAGATAAGGCCAAATGGAAGACCTTCCTTGGTTAAAATGTGCATTATCATGTATTGTTTGCATTCTCTGGATGATATCAAAATTTTATATTTTAAATGACTTAAGAGGAAAAAACAACTTAAACAGTCATATAGAAGGAAATTTGAAAGTATAATTGTTCAAATTAATTTTCTTTTTCTTATAGGTCGACTATATGCTATGCAAACTGGGATGAAGATTGACAGCAAAACTCCTGAATGTCGTAAATTTTTATCAAAACTCATGGACCAGTTAGAAGCTGTAAGTTAAACATTCATCATTTATTAATCTGATTCTATCTTAAGTGCCACTCTATTTGCGGGGAGGCGGGGGGTTGTATGTATTATCATTTTAGTTCTGGTTAGCAGCACCAGGCAAAGTCATTTTTGATTGTTGGTTGTTAACACTACAATACCAGGGAGTTGTAGGTATAGTGTAGGTTCAGATATCCTTGTATATGCATTATATCATTTCCCACGTTATTATGGATGGATTTTGTGTGTGTGTGTGTGTGTGTGTCTGTTGTGGAGCTTGAACCCTAGGCCTAGGTACTGTCCCCTCAGCTCTTCAGCTCAAGGCAAAGCGCTCCACTACTTGAGCCACAGCACCGCTTCTGGTGGTGGTTTATTGGACATAAGAGTCTCACAAACTTTTCTGCCCAGGCTGGCTTTGAACTGCAATACTCAGATCCTCAGCCTTCTTAGTAGCTGGGATCACAGGTATGAGCCATGGCCACCTGGCTTGTGGATGGATTTTGATTCATCATTTAGTAAGTGAGGAAGCCTTTCTAACCATATCTCAGGTAGCCTGTGTATATTTGATTTGGGGGTTCTTTAATAGCTGTTAAGATGATGAAGTGTGTGTGTGTAAGTGTGTAAAAGGAACTGTGAACAAAATGATACCAGTTGCTTATCTTCTTCTTCTTCCCTTTTTTTTTAGCACTAAGGGAACATACTATTATGGTCCAAGCATCCTCCCCTCCCTGTACCTGTTAAGTCACATTCATGAACATAATAAAATGTCACAGGACAATGAAGAGGTGATGGGAAAGTTGATTTAGTTGGGTTGAGTGTCAGTGCATAACAAGTACAGTGCCAGCCGTAGTAGTGTCCCCTAGCAATCAGATTTCCACCCTGTGACTTATGTCTAACTGTTCCTGGAGTTACCAGAGTCAAATGTTACTCCGCTTCAGTGAATCTCCTCCAAGGCTGTTACATTAAAAGTGTAGCTTACTTTATATGTACTTATGTAGTTGTATGATATGCTCAAAAAAGTCAAAAATGTGTTTTTTCAATTACTGGATTTTGCTTAAAGAAATAAAATTTAATTATACTAAAATATTTATATTTACCAACCCAGAACTTTATTTTGTTTTTGTTTTGTTATTAGAAATGTACTATTCAATCAAATACTATTCCAACAGAAAATTCCCCTGCCTAATTATGTTAATCAACCATGAGTAATATTTTCTCTAAGTTTCTTTAACCCTCTGGCTAGAGAGTTCCTATCATCTACAGTCGCTGCCTATGCAGAGCGAATCTGGTGGTACCACTTAGAGAATTTGACTTCCCCTGGAGCTTTGGGGCCCTCTATTTTATTGATGCTACCCTCTATTTTATTAATGGACACAAGATAAATTTGAGTATGTTCAAATTTTTGAGAGGTGTTGGAATGAGAAGAATGTCTCACATGGTAATATATTAGTAAAATTCCAACTCGTGATGACCTTATATAGAATATATCTCTTTATTGATTTCATAGTACAATAATAGATGTTTTGGATAAGACTGAATTCAAATACTTCTAAACACAACGTAAATTACATTTATGACATGATTATGAGGAGTTTAAACTCTTCATTAAAAAAAAACAAGTAGATAGGTTATTCCCAATGAGGACACTTATGTCTATATATTTATCTATATTGTAATTTAAAAACTTCAAATATAGCCAGGCATTGGTGGCTCACACCTCTAATTCTAGCTACTCAGGGGCTGAGATCTGAGGATTGTGGTTCAAAGCCAACCCAGGCAGGAAAAGTTCTTGAGACTCTTATCTCCAGTTAACTACCAGAAAAATGGGAAGTGGTACAGTGGCTCTAGTGATAGAGCTCTCCCCTTGAGCTGAAGAGCTGAGGGACAGCGCCCAGGCATAGAGTTCAAGTCCCATGACCACAAAAGAAAAAACTTCAAATATATTATAATCTTGGTGCTAAATATTTTCTAATAAAGATAAAATTAACGAGTATGGGTCCACTAAATTTTTTTTGGAATTAAATATGTTACAAATCATTTTGCAATTTGAAAACTTTAAATTAGTCATATAAAAAGTTGGGTTGCCAGATAAGTCAAACTTTTGTAAATCTCAGCATTAAATCTCTTGTGAATTTTAAATTACTCTGTTTTATTTTGAGAGAGTTCAGGTATGGTGAAACATTCCTGTAATCCCAGCTACACAGGAGGTAGAGTTGGGGAGGATTACAGTGCTAGCCCAGGCACAAAGTAAGACAAATATTTTAGTATGCCTGTGATCACACCTATATAGGAGGCTATGAGAGAGGATTGTGGTCTACAGCTGGCCCTGGGTAAAAAAACCACAAAACTATAACAAGTTGGGTGCCAGTGGCTGAAGCTTATAATCCTAGCTATTTAGGAGGATGAAACAAGGAGGAGGATGCTTCAAAGCCAGCCTAGGCAAAAAAAAAAAAAAAAAAAAAGGGAGATTCCCATCTCCAGATAAGCTGAAGAATGCTGGACTGGAGGTCCACACTGGCGATGCAGTTCAACTAGAAGAGCCCCCTCCTTGAGCGAAAAAGCAGAGCAAGAGCAGGAGGCCCTGAGGTCAAGCCCCAGCACCTGAACACACAAAAATGCATAGCTATAACAAAAGGACTAGGGGCATGACTTGAGTAGAGTGCCTGCCCAGCAAGTATGAGACCCTTGCTCAAACCCCCCCAGGGCCATCAGAAAAGAAAAAAAGAGTAAAGATTTCACCAGTAAATCTTTGTTGAAATGAATGTACTTACATAAACAATTTACTTAAAATAATTATTAGAATTATTTGTACTTGACACTTTTCTGAGAATCAAATGATACGCCATGCATCTGATTTTATTTTAGCTTAAGAAACAGTTGGGTGATAATGAAGCTATAACTCAAGAAATAGTTGGTTGTGCCCATTTGGAGAATTACGCTTTGAAAATGTTTTTGTATGCAGACAATGAAGATCGGGCTGGGCGATTTCACAAGTAAGTAAACAGGGAAATAAAAGTTATTTTATAAAGTGGGTTTCTGTGTGACTAGAATTATCTAGTTTTTAGCTAAGTACTTTCTGACTACCTCAATAATACAATTTTTTTTAAATTTTAGACATGATTCTGAGTTACAAATGTGGGACTTTCTTGTCAAAGAAAATAGGTGAAGGCAGGTTTATTTTCTCACGATATTTACCCTAATTAGCCATTCTTTAACGTTTAGTGAGCTCTGAAGACTGAATTCAATAGCGATCACAGCCTAGCCTGATGATACTGATTTAAAAAATACTCCAGCCAGTTCAAATGTGTCATTGTAATAATACTTAAATGCAAAGTAATGCATTTTGGATTGTTAAGGACTCACATATTCTATTTATTTTCACTCTAATCTATATGATAAAACCTTAATGTCTTGTAATATGAATGTTGTCACTTCTAATAACATTACAAAGCCCTCTTGAAGTCAAGAGGGCTTTGATAAACAGAAACATTATTTTCTTACAGCTACATTATTAGTACTACATTTTCATGTTTTTTATTTAAATTAGACCAGCTTTCTTTTGTCTTCCAGAAACATGATCAAGTCCTTCTACACTGCAAGCCTTTTAATAGATGTCATTACCGTATTTGGAGAACTCACTGAGGAAGTGAGTATACATCCTTTTATTATCTTAATAGGGGAAGATGATAATGTTGTTTATATTAATAAAAGTATCACTTTTATTATTTGATTTAGAGTAGCATGTTCGTTAAAAATGTAATATAAGCAAAAATATGGAACATTTAGAAAGCAAACACAATACATTTTATCACATTCTTTAATTCTAGTGAGATTTTTTTTTGTCTTCATATGTATGGCTATTATATTAAACTGCATCTGTTTAGAGTTTGATTTTTGTTATTGCTTATGTTTTAACCATGTATGTTAAGTTTCTATACTATTAGTTGCAAAGATTTTATGACCATTTCATTTCTAGCCAGAAGGATTATTGTTTATAATTTCTGTTAAAAAGTGATATGATATATTAAAGATATTTCATATTCATTTTATCAGTTCCATTCTCAAAATCACTCTGAGAAGCAGAGTATATACTCATATTACTTTGAATTCTTGGGACTACAACTGGCTTTTCAATTGTCATGGGACATTTGCTTTCAAAGGGGAGAATTCAGTCTAGAGAAGTACTGTATAGAGAAGAAAAGACCACATATGAGGTAGAGGTATGTAGTGCTGGTGATCTGAATGTTAAGAGAAATTTTTTGTTGTTGTTGTTGTTTTGTTTTTTAATTGTGAGAATACCATACAGAGGAGTTACAATTACATGGGCAAGATAACAAGTACATTTCTTATCAATCATTGTTGCTTCCTCTTTGTTTCCCCTTTGTAAAGTTCATTTTTCAACATAACGACTTGTTTTACATCTCATTGTTGCAATGGGTCCACCTGTATCCCTAGTTAAATGATTTGTTTTTGCCCTTCCCCTCCACAAATTATACCAACATCAATTACAGTGAAAGCAGGGGTTATACCATGGGGGAGGGACATACAAAGCAACATAGAAATCATCTTAAAAAAGATTTTTTTTTTCAAAAAATGACCAGCTTTTGGTAAAGTGCAAAGACAACATAAAATCTATGAGTCAGGAATTTCTACTTGGTTAAAAGAGGTAATTTCAGTACTGCAAAAAGTCCTGGCAAGGTAAACAGTGGCATCAACTCTCTCACAGTTTCTCAGTATAATATGAAGACTTAACTTTACTACTGATTTAAACTTTATGCCTAAAATAAGACACAAACATCTGTATTAATGTCCTTATTTCAAGGATATCAAAAAGCTTAATGCTAAGTTGGTATTTCAAATATTTCTGCAGTCAGATTTTCTTATTTTTTTAATCTGTAGATGGAAAAACATTTAGACTTGTTTGCACAGAACTTCTTTCATAACTCTTATAAAAAATACTAGATCTCATTTAGTCCCTGGATTTTTCTTGGTCTAATTCCTGATACTTCTTTCCCATTTAGTTTCATGTCATTACTCATACTTGTACAAAACTAAATAAAGTAGATGTTTTCTTTAGTGTTCAACTAGGTTTTTGGGGTTTTTTTTTTAGTTTTAAAAATATCTTTGATGCTATTATAGTTCTCAATTTTCTTATCTTCTAGATATACATATTTAATTAACTATTTGCATAATTTCTTCTCAATATTCTAATTATGTCTTTTACATAAACTAGTATTCCTGTAGGTTTCTTGGAGCAAATGTCTCAGTTTTGGGAATATAGTCACCACTCTGTGTGTGTGTGTGTGCATGTGTGTTGTAAATTTTATATTTTAAAGCAAAGAATGTTATATATGTATATATTTTTTTTCCTAATATATTGTCAATTCTGAGACAGAAATTTAATATTTTTGTTGTATTTTGATATAGTATGTTTCATTGTATTTTTTTTGAAAATGAATATTTCATTTTAGATGTATTCCACTATTAGTAATATTTGAAGAACACATTAACATACTTTATTTTTCCTTTAAAATCTTTGGCTAAGGATTAAAAACTGCTATGTAGGAAGAATATAAAATTTGTAAGTAAAATAATGCTGTATTTACTGTTTCTTACTAATTTGGGGGGAATCAAATGAATACGTTTTTCTACCTTTACAAAGCTTGTGTTTCACGTTCAAGGTGTTAGTGACAAAGTACAGGGAAGGGACCCACTATCATTACCCAGCACTGCTCACAAACATCTTAGAAATTCCATGTTTTAACTAGCACTGAGCCTCAGACATTTTAGAAATTGAACAACTCTGAATTATGTGAGAAAACTGATGGTCTTAAAAATGTAAGTACCTTGTTTGGTATGTTATAGTTGAGAATCACTTTTCCAACCTCTTGTGATGAGAATTCAGCCATTTCATTTATTTAACTTCCCCTACATGGATAGTTGTTACAAATGTAAACAGTAAATTATTAGAGCAATGAAACTTTTAAAAGATAAGTGTAATAACCTAATTTGCTCTGACTTTTCCAAAGATTCTGAATCTCGATACTGCATACAGCTTGAAGATCTCTTGGTCAAAGTACTTAAAAGCAAAAATGTTCAAATTTCCAAGTTTTTAGGTTTTGAAATATCTGTGTAGACTTTACTTTTTTTAATATATATTTTTATTGTAAAGATACTGTACAGAGGGGTTACAGTAACATGAGTAAGGTAATGAATACATTTCCTATTGAGCATTGTTACCCCCTCCTTTAGTTTTTCCCCTACCATCCCTTTCCTTCCCACCTCCCCATCACCTACGTACCCTCCAATCCCCTGCAAAGTTGTAAAGTTCGTTTTCAACAGTGTCTTGTACATCTCATTGTTACAATAGTTCATCTTGTATCCTTATTTCCCTTCCCTTCCCCAAATTAGAAAAATTTATATACAAGTTGCAGGACACTGGAATCAAATACTGTGACAATAGGGGTTGTACCATGGGGAAGAACATACAGAGAAACAAACAAACAAAAAATCACATAGTACATTATAAGTACACAAAAAGAATAACAAGAAAGATGAAATCTCTTGTGTCCCTATCTTCGGGTTCATTTCACTTAGCATCAGGTTATATGGTCATATGTACATAGCTTTTGACCTTTTCTGTTTGCCCAAGGCATATACTAGTTATTGCAGATAAAGGGAATCATGGGACCTATGTAGATGAATGGATCAAGAAAATGTGGTAATACACACACACACACAGGAATTCTATGCCTCCATCAGAAAGAATGACACCTCCCCATTTACTAGGAAATGAAAAGACTTGGGAAAAAATTATATTAAGTGAAGTAAGCCAGACTCAAAAGTTAGCTAGACTTTACTTTTATTACATGGTCATCCAGATTCTAAAATGCTCTGCAATCCCTACTGATTGCAGATTGTAACCAAGTTCTGCAACATAGCTCTAATATATAATAATGAATGAGCCATATTTTAGTCATATTCTAGTGTACTGGTCAATGAGAATATGGAAAATGTGTGGAAGTTTTTATGGAACTCTACTAGTCGATCTTACACATTTATTTTATATTTAAATGAACATATTCAGAAACACATTATTATTATGGCATGTAATATTATCATTACTCTTATGTAAACACCTGATATGCATTTAGATTTCCAAAAAGGCAGGAGAAAGAAAATAAAGAAAAAAGATACCTGAAGAAATATTACAAATTTTCTAAATAGAGTAAAAAGGCCGTTATAGACCCAACAATCTCAATGGACCATCTCCTTGTAAAGAAAACAATTCTGAATAATTAGAAAGAAACTGTCAACTAATAACTTTACCAGAAATTGTGTTACAGTCAAAATGTCAAAAAACATTTTTACACAGATTAATTCACTGATAGCAGATCTACACTGTAGATCCAAATGTCAGTTAAAAGTAGCATTTTAAATGATAAAGATGATGTCAAATAGAAGTTTTAATTTACAGGAAGGAATGAACTCTGAGTTAGTAATGTTAGTAGTGTAAAAGACTTTGTTTTATTCATTTATTTTTATCATTGTAACTATGCACTCATACTTTGTAAGCCTAAACAATGGCAAGAAAAGGAATAAAAATAATACAAAACAAATGTCAGACTTTAGACCTAAATGCTGCTCTGTGAACCTATATATTAAATGTAAATGGACCAAATGCTCTAGTTTAAAAAGTAATGATTTTGCAAACTAGATGTAAAAAAATCCTTGAAGATACAGTGTTTACAAAAGACATTCTTTAAATACAAAGACAGTTATTTTGAAGATGAAAATATGGCCATACAATTAAAATAATAAATCCCTACTGAGGGTTGATATTAATATTAGGTGAAGTAAACTTTTACTAGAAATGAATAGGACATTTTATATTAGTATAGAGGTCAGTTTCATCAAGAAGACTTTGCAATTAAAAATATGTATCTAATAACAAAAAACAAAATTCATGAACAGAAATGCAGAAAAAATTGTAATTATACTTGAGGATTTTAATGCTCCATTTGGTCATTGACAGAATAAGTAGTTTTTAAAATGAATAAAATTAAAACTGACCATTCAGATGTTGTCTAGAATTCAGGAAAACAAGACCTTTCATACATTGCTTGGTTGGAAATGTTAGACATTATAACTACTTTGGGAAAAGATTTGGCAGATTTTTATGAAGTCAAACATACTCCTACACTTTTACCCAGCAATTCCTATTCTGGAATTTATCCAAGAGAAATGAAAACATATGTCCATAAAAAAGGCTTGTGCAGGAATGTTCATAGGAAATTTACTCATAATAGCCCAAACCTGGAAACAACCTACCATCAAGGGAGCTGATACACGTGTCGAGGTGTTGCTAGTGACTGCTGGGGTAGACTGTGACATGATGGTTCTTGAATCACAGAATACAATCTGTATGATTTCCTAAAAATGACTAAATTTATTTTAGTAAAAACATAGAAAATAGTTTTAATTTCTTGTGGCAAGGGAAATTGATCTGAACTTCCCTGGAAATATAGACGCTTTCTTAGTAGCAAGAAATATATATCAGTAAAAGTGATTTACATAGAAACATACATATATTTGTCAAAACATCAAATTATGTAGTTAAGATTTGCATATATCAATATATGTATC